GCGTCCTACGAGGCTGGCATCCCGTTCCCACCCTTTCACTGTTGAAACTGTTAGATGTAGCCGCCTCTTCTACTCCAATAGCTTCATATCACGCACCTCTCGCCTGTGGAACTCCCTTCCCTATTCCTGTTTCCCTGATAGCTTTAATCTCCAACTATTCAAATGTAATGTCAATCGACATCTCCAGTTGCCTTGATCTATCCACTATCCTTCTCCTCATCCTTTCCTCTATCACTCCTATATGCTCTCGCTCCAAATCCTCTGTAACCCCTTGCGTCCTAGTGGCTTCTCGCCTTGCTAGGAGTGAAATACTTCATGTATTTTTATTGTTCCCATTCCTTAATAATGTTTTTTTCTTTCTTTCTTTTTCTCTTATTCTTTCATTGCGTCTTAGAGGCTTTATTAACTTACTTGGGGTGAAATGATTTTTAAAAAAATGTCATTTTCCCTTCTCGCTATATGTGACGATGTGTTCCGCTCGTCCGTCTCTGCCCAACCTGATGACATCCAAGGCCGTTTGTATGCGCATACACCCGGCTATCCACTTTCACTGGTTTGTTCTGTTAGCCGTAATCGAAGTCAACAAAGAATAGACAATTACTTTTCAAGAGGCTCTTGTTGGGAAATAACAATACAAATTCTCTCTTAGCTGTATCTGTCTTCCTTCGGCTAAATTGCTATCGCCCTAACTTCCGGCCACGGGAAAAGGACCTTTCCATTTAGTGACCGTCTAGCCGTCTGCTGATTTCTCACTGCCCGCTGGTCACATACTCACTTAGACACCTATTGCTGACTTCCTGCCTCTTTGCATATATCGATAATGACTGGGATCCGACTACACCTATCTGTCCCTCTGTGTTCCGGAACAAGGGACAACCCATTCGACTTTTTGGATGGTCAGCTTCTTCAAAGGACTACTTTTATGATTATCTATAATCATTGACAAAATTTTATGTTTGCCTATTCAAAGGCAGACTAGAAAGAGAACTCCGACACTTGATTTGGCTCAAAGATGGACTGGAGACGAATTTCCTAAGAAACTCAGATAATAAAATGGACTTAAAAGGAAAAGGAATTTATCTACTTATCTCCAAAGGATGTGTGAGAAATCGTATTGTTACATCGTATTGTTTTTCTTCTTTTTTTGTTGATGCTGAAAATGTTCAAGGGGTGTGTTTTTTTATTATTTATTTAGCTTCTTTGATTGTAATTTTGTAGCACTAGTCTATAAAGCCTGATGAACTACTGTCTTTTATAATCTAATGGATTCATTCGCTTAAAGATATGTTATTCATTGATCTGGGAACACCGTTATATTTAGATGATATATTAAGCCTTTCTGAATGAGTTGGCCGCCATGAATGGCATCCATATGAGTGTCTAGATCTGACGAGGTAATTTAAGAGCAGGATTCAAGTTCTTGGTTAATATTTGGGCTCTGTGGTATCTTACGGTGTCTTAGGAAAAGTATATCTCGCATAATTTATCCTATTTTCAATTTCCTCATCTTTTATGTTAAATTTTTCATAATTTTTTGTTATGGTAATTTACCCACGCACGCATGGACTCTCCCAGCTATAAATAGGAGCAGGTACTGCCTTTTGGAGAGGGAAGTTTCCAGCAGTCAGCTCTGACAGCCCGACCGAACATTCTACCTGTAACTCTCTCGTTTGTATATGTTTGTATTACTGTTTCTGTTAATATATTTGATCAACTAAATTCCTCTTTGAGTCTTTATTTCTGGCCCTAACCAGGGCACAACACTTATCCATACACAAAGCTATTTGAAGTCTTTAGAATTTAATTTTTCATCATGAATTTTTAGGCCTTACGGCCATATCACGTTAAAACAGCGGGTCACGTTCGACCATATATATAAGTACAATAATATTTCATTTAATTATATTAACTTGTTGCCAATTCTCAGGCAGCTTCGATACTTGGAGTAAAATTAAACAGCTTTTTGATGACGCCCTATCAAATCTAAAAGCAAAAGTAACGCCCTTTTTTCGCTGCAAACTGAATTCAGCCAGAGAGTTAGAAATTAGAATGATGTTTACTTTCAACAAGATGGCGCGCCGCCTAACTATGGCTTACACTAAATCTTAATTTCCAGCAGAGATGTACAGAACTACATGGAGCAACTGAGTGGACATCATGACCACCAGACCTAACACCACCAGACCTAACACCACCAGACTTTTTCTTGTGGGCTGTATTGAAAGATCTTGTCTCCAGGCTCAAAACGAAAAGAATTCCTGAGTTAAAACATGCAATTATTGATATTTTTTCTGAAATTAATGCACACCTGGGTCAAATAATTCGTAGAAGTGTCACTGATGGGGTTAACCGGTGTATTGAACATGAAAAGGAGTCATTTTGAACACGTTAAATAGTCTGTTACTCATAACAAATCATATTGTTTTGATGTGACAATACTTATACATTTTCTTTAATAATTTAATACATTTATGTTCAATAACAGTTAATAACTAAAAAATGGCGTTGTATTCAAAATGTATTCTTAACTGTCACGTATGACTAGTACATAAAATGATACATTTGTCATTATAAACTGATTCTTCAAAACAGAATTAATTATGACTCAATCTAATATAAACTATCAGTCTTTCACTATTTGATTATATTCAGTTTTCTGTTTCAACTTTACCATTATTTCAAGTTTATTTTACCGTAATTCCCATGTATAATACACCTTCTTCAATAATACGCATCCCTTAAATGGTGCTGAAAGTGTAGGGAAATGCTTCTACTCATATATTATCCGCACCCCTTGTTTGGTAATCAAACCCTATAAATTGTACCTCTCCAATTTCATTACGCCCAGCGTTTCCTATTCTTATTCCAGCTGTAATTAAAGATATTTTTCAAGATTTCCGATCATCACGATTCTAAAAAAAAACGGAAATACCTATCTTGTACCTACTGCGCAGACTCATTAAGCTGTTTTTGTTCGATAAAATGTGCAATCTACCGGATCTGCATATATTTTTACACAAAAAATGGTTTTAAACATAGAATAATATTATTCTAATTTAGTTTTATATTAATAAATATATAATTTATTTTATAATAATTCTTATTTTATTTTACATTTGTAAGGTTAGGTAGATATTGTATTTGACATCCTTATGGGATCGCCGAATGTTAGTGTCAAATTGTCATATATTTGTGGTGAGTAGTCATTTCGCAACTGAAATCGACCTATGAAACGGCAATGTTTTAAAGATTTTTTTGTAGCTGTGCATGATATCCACCCCTAATTTTGCTTATTATTTTTTTAGAAAAAGATGCGTATTATACATGGGGAATATTACTTTTCCAAATATCCTCTTTAGTTGAATACTATTCTCTTTTTTTTTAATGACGAACAATAACTGGTAATGCTGTGAGATATTCACTTCTTTTAGTATGTTTAAAATCTTTTTTGGTAAGGTGCGTAATAGTTTGATTCGCACAAATTGAAGCGGCATTAATCAGGATGAATCCATCTTTAGCAGTAATCTGGCAGCTACTCTCGAAAATGAAGTCTAGTCAGTTTTTAACTGGGACAAAAATGGCTTGTAAATTTTAACGCCTCCAAAACGTAATTGCTATCGTTTAATCATCATAGAGAAGAAATTTTACCTTTCATCAGTATGGCTGATGCTAACCTCCAGAAGAGTTAATTATTGCGCCTTCTTAGTCACACATTTTGCACTGACATGAAGTGGGCCGGTTATATTGAATCAATTGCTAAGTCTGCTGCTAAGAAGTTTGGTTCACTGTAATATTTTTCTTGTAGGAATACATCTTACACATTTATATATATATACCATTCGTCAGTGCGTTGAATATTGCTGCCATATCATGTCTGATGCACGAACTATATACCTCGGGATTCTCGACAAAATCCAAAAAAGGTTCTGTAATGTTATCGGTCTTGAAATGGTATCTTGACTTTCCCAGCGCCTTCCCTCCGACGCTTTTATAAATATTTTCGTTTCAATTGTTTTAATGATCACTCCGCCTTGAATATCTCGACCGCATCAATTTAAGCGTACTACTAGTTTGGCTGATAGGTCTCATCATTTTACTATTGAAATAGCTAGATATCACCCTAAGTTTTATTCTAATAGTTTATTTCCTCGGACTTCTTGTCCTGAGACGTACACAGGGTCTGATCCTCTTTGCCTCTGTGTCCTATTGATAAAAGAAAACTTCATTCGGATAGCATTTTCTCGAGAACCGCTACCTTGTGGAACATTCTTCCGAGAGGGTGTTTACCCAATCAATGCAAGGCTTCCGGTAACTTCACGTTGAATCACTGCTTCCCGCACAATCACCGAAGGTAAACTATGTCGAGCGTGGTCAGTAACTAGATGGGTGACCGCTTGTGAATAGCAGGTGCTTGGGAGATATCATGGATAATAGCTCGGAATTGTTAATCGGAGTGCCAGGTTCCAATTCCAGTTGGGTTCGTTATATTTCCTTACGCGCAAATACCCTTGGGAAAGGTATGACTACACATTTTTTTACCCCCAGCTGATGGCTTGATTAGTAAGACTGGTATTGCTAAACCATTATTTTCTCCAAAACTAAATATAGAATTAGTTGCGAAAATACTTAGATAAGCATTAAATAATCCATAGAGGTTGATAAGGCACTAAATAAAAACAACCAGCCGATTAATGCAATCATAACCTCTTCAAGACTTCGCTCTAGGGTATTGTATTTGGTGATCATTTAGTTAAGGAAATCTTTCTCCTAAATGTTATTATATACATTCTAGTGAAGGCAGAGATTATGAGTTGAAAATCTCGAGATATTTTTTTTCTATAAATGTATTTAAAATTTCCCCACTGTCGTTTAATTAGTAAAATAGAAAACAAAAAATTATGTAATATTTTCTGAAACATTAAAGCACATCAGAGTGTGTGTGTGTGTGTGTGTGTGTGTGTGTGTGTGTGTGTGTGTGTGTGTGTGTGTGTTATATTTACCGGATTCTGCAGGCAAAAACCTTCCAATAACGATGGCGTTTTCTTCTGTCGTTTCAAGGTTCGTAGAGAGTTGGTTTGTAGTAATATTTTTGGCTTCCATGACGATTTTTCCACTACCCGAATTGCAGATGTTCACCTGTTCAGAAAACAAATCGAATTAGTCAATACTAAATCGTTACCAATTGCAACAAGCTCATTTTAATTTATTATTTTAATATAGATATAAATATAATTTCACGGTGTTGTAGTAATTTCACTCTTCATAAGACATTTTCAAGATAAAAGCTTTTGATAAGATACAAAACAAAGAAATTTTTTTTAACTGCGAGGTAAGCTGGACCTATGCGAGAGAGATTATCCAATAATTCAGAACTTAAATTCGGAGCAAATCGCCTGCATTTCGTTAGAAAATGAGTTCAGCAGCTATACAAAAACAGAAAGGAGTTTAAGACAAGGATGCGTCTTCTTACCGGACTGATATAATCTTTACAGCGAGACGTTCATGGTCGAATTAAAAGTCCAATCAGGTTGTTATTATTGGCTGACGTAGTCGTAACAAAAGATATACAGACGGCACTATATTGATAGCAGATACACAGTGTAGTAAAGGAAAGCGAGAAAGAGATAACTATCAATTATAAGAAAAAAATATATGTGTATATATTTTTGAGACGAGGTATTGTAATATTTTATATTATTTACATTGTTCGGACTGTTGCTCTCATCGTTATTGCCATATCTACAACGTTTCGGCCGTTATACACTCCGGCTTTCTTTAGGATCTTTCTATATTTCTGAGATGAGGTATTGCAATTATTCATATTATTTACATTGTTCCGACAGTTGTCCTCATCTTTATTGCCAGATACATGCCATATACAACCTCTTTTAACGAGAAAAAGAAGAAAAAAAAAAGAAAGAAAAAAGAGGAGGTGGTTATAGAATTTGTGGGCTTTACTCAGATCAACCAACAAACTAGCCTACGTTAAATTTCAAATAGGGAAAGAAGGAAAATTTAAGCAGCCGCCTTTCATAAATGGGTCATGATCCGCAGATTTAGCATCAAAGACAGCAATTTGACGCCAAACCCGAGTGGATGTAAATGGCCACAATATTGTACACCAAACAGTGTCAGCCATTTCGTAGGAAAAGCTACATGCCCTGTGAGTGTCAACAAAAAAAGTATCTCTCTCTCTCTCTCTCTCTATATATATATATATATAGTGTCCTAAATGTAACCTCGTTATTTAAAAATGTCGTAACATATACGATTTTTCATAGTTATATATATATATATATATATATATATATATATATATATATATATATTAAGCATTTCGCCCCAAGCAAGGTGGTAAGCCACTAGGACCCAAGGGGTTACAGAAAATTTAGAGCAAGATCAGATAGTAGTGATAGAAGAAAGGATGAGGGTAGTGGATAGATCAAGGCAACTGGAGATGTCGATTGACATTACATTTGAATAGCTGGAGATTATAGCTCACAGGGAAACTGGAATAGGGAAGGGAGTTCCACAGGTGAGAGGTGCGAGACATGAAGCTATTAGAGTAGAAGAGACGGCTACATTTAGGAGTTTCGACAGTGAAGGGGTGAGAGCGGGATGCCAGCCTCGTAGGGCGCTGGAACTCATGACGTCTGGGAACCAGCGAATGCAGCTCCTCGGAGCAATTGCCATGAAAGTATTTGTAGAACAGACAGAGGGGGGCGACGGCGCGTCTGTGAGAAAGTGACTGTAGACGAAACGCCAGGGCAGGGCCAACCACAGTGCATATCCGCCTCTGGAGCCTATCAAGAACCCCGAGGCAAACAGAAGGGGCACCAGACCATATATGGCAGCCAAACTCCATGCAAGGCGAATTGTGGATCTGGAGGATCGACTCCGGGGGCAAAAACTTCCTAGCGCGGCTCAGGGAGCCAACTTTCCTTGCAGTGGACGAGTATATATATATATATATATATATATATATATATTTGGTTTTGTTCAGAAATTAGTTTAACGCATGGAAATTTCCCACAGAAAAATTCACAACTGAACAAAGAATCAAAATCATTTAATTTTCTTTTGGATTTAATTAACCCATCCATCGTGAAAATCCGAAATGTGATAGTCACCACACGTCTTCTAACTTGACACCTAGTTATTTTGCGGGGGTGGTGGTAGGTGAATATTTTAAGAAACGTGTATAGACTACAGAATTTAGCAACTGA